AAAAAAAAAAAAAAAAAAATTAGCTGGGCATGGTGGTGCACGCCTGTAGTCCCAGCTACTTAGGATGCTGAAGCAGGAGAATTGCTTGAACCCAGGAGGCAGAGGTTGCGGTGAGCTGAGATTGCACCATTGCACTCCAGCCTGGGTAATGAGCAAAACTCCATCAAAAAAAAAAAAAAAAAAAAAAGAGGGCAATCATAGAGCTTTTATAACTTCCATGATTTATGACACAGTGGGCCAGGCAGCTTGGGAAGGACCTATATCTGGATGTAGACATGCTAGTTGGGGAATGGGTGCATCTGCAGGCCAAGGGAGGGTATCTAATCAACCATCAGGAAAGAAAGACACAGTACCAGACATTGTGCTAGGGTCTGAGGTTACAGAGATGAACAAGGTATAGTTGCCTTCGACTCACCCAAGCAGCTGGCATCAGGGTATCCTAAAGGGCAGATAAGCAGAGCATGGCAATGAGAGAAATCTAAGTGTTGTAAATATTCCGTAAGTCAGGTAAGCAGGTGGTTGGCATCACATAAGCATAACCACAGGGAACAGGGTTTCAACGACAGAGATTTGGAGTCTGAGACAGCACACAAATCTTTGAGGAATGGGAGTGTGTGCAGACAGATTAGAAGGAGCAAGGTAGATCTCCAAACCTAAAGGGACTAGGATATCAAGGTGTTTTTAAGAGCAGAGCCCCTGCATAGGGAGCCAGACTGAGAAGCAGTGACCAGAAGAGGAATACAAGTTGACTAGATACAGTTTCTGAGACTTGAAGCAGTGCTTCTTAAATCTCTTCTAATGTCAAGTTTGGTACTAGAGCCTAGTATAGGGCTGAGTTTATAATTAGAAATTCAAATGGCAGTAATAGTGATGTTAGGAAGAATAGGAGAACAATAAAACAGGCACATTTTAATGGTGTGTATTCAATATGTAACTGTATCATTTATGACCAGATTAGTGGTGAAGCCAAAGGATATTTTGAATGTGTTCATAACTTTGTTGATTACTGTTAGTATATTTCTCCATTTCATTCTTCCTGTCTTGAATTTAGCAGACATTAATTGGATACCCTCCATGTGCAGTGAATATTCTCTTATGCACAAGGACAGATAGAAAGGTGAAAAAAAAAAAAAACACAATCCATCATATTCTAATAATCCCACCTTGTCAGTGTCTAACCTTTGTTAACTCTCATTGTCTGCTTTCTTCATTCCTACAGTGGTAATTTTAAAACATTTCTTTTCTGTCCTTAAGCACCCATGCTTTCTCCTTTGTTTTAGCAAAAGACCTTATTGTGTAATTTACTGAGCATATTATATCCACTGACGTGAACTTCATCAATTTCTCTCCTCTTCACTCATTCTTTATTTTCTCTTTCCTCTGAGAAAGAAGTAACTTCTTCTGGGGACCTTACTCTACAGATCTTAACCCTAGCTGTTTAATCATTCTCTACTGTTTCTTTCTCCTGTCACTATAATTACCTTGAAGCCTTCTTTATCCAGAAACCTTCCTTCAACTTTGTGATCCTCCTCAAACTTCAGTTCTCTCTGTCCTTCTTTTTGTTGCCAAGATTTCTAATTCAAAAGTACTTCTGTCTATATTTTCTAGTGTTCATTCATTCAAAAATATTTACTTATTGTCTCCTGTTCTAGACATTGAGGATATAGCAATGAATAAATATATAAAAACTTTTATCCACATGGACAAAAACTGCTGTCCCCATTATTTCCATTAGGAGAGGCAAACAATAAAAAGATAAATAAGTATTATGCTATATTATAGGGGTCAACAAACTTTCTGTAAAGAAACACAGTTAATATTTTAGGTTTTGCAGGCCATACAGTTTGTGTTGAAACTAATCAACTCTGCTGTTATGTGCCTTGAAAGCAGCCATAGACAATATGTAAGCAAATTGGTGTGGCTGTGTTCCAATAAAACTGCATTTTGGAATACTAAAATTTGCATTTTATGTAATTTTCATGTATCATAAAATATGATTCATTTATTTCAGTCACTTAAAATGTAAAATTGTTCTTAACTTATGAATTGTACAAAAAATATGGTGGACCAGATTTTGCCCAAAGGCTATAGTTTGTTGACTTCTGGTATATTAAATATTGATAAGTGCTAAGGAGAAAACTAAGCAGGAAAGGGTGATATTAAATGTTTTGGAGGAGGGTGAATAGTTGAAATGTTAGATAGGGTGGTCAAGGAAGTCTTCGCTGGGAAGATTGTTTTTAAGTAGAAACCCGAGGAAAAAGAGCATCCCAGACAGAGGGAATAACAAGTGCAAAGTCCCTAGGGTATTTAAACAATGGCAAGGAGATCATTGTGACTGGAGTGGAGGGAACATTGGGGGAATTAGGAGATGTGACCAGGGAAGTAATGGTGTCTTAGTCTGTTTCGTATTGCTATAACAGCATACCTAAGACTGAGTAATTTATAAAGAAAATAGGTTTATTTAGCTTATGATTTTGCAGGTTGGAAAGTTCAAGGGTCATGGAACTGGATTTATTTGGCTTCTGGTGAGGGCTTTTGTGCTTGGTCAAAATGTAGCAGGAAGTCAAAGGGAAATAGATTCATGCCAGGAGACATAATCCAAGGGGCTTCCTGGCTTTATAACAACTTACTTTCATGGAAACTGTTTCTATTTTATTTCCTTGTATACTATGTTCGTCCTCAACTGGAGTACTTGCTGCTTTCTACCCATGATCTGTGCTTTCTACCTCAGTATCTTTTTTCATGCTTCTTCATTGCAAATTACCTGTTTTTTTGTGTCCCTACACTTTAAAATTCCCTTTTTCAAAGCCTAGCTCTTAATGGCATTCTTAGCTTCCTGAGGAAATTTCCTTGTCTTGCCTTTTCTCCAAGACTTTGTAACAGTTCTGTTTATCCCTAGATACTTATTTTCTGCATTGTATTTTAGTTGCTTCTATACCTGTCGTAGTCATCTATTAGACTGCCACCTCCTTGAGGACAGGGACCATACGTTATCTTTATTTGCCCTTGTACCCAGCATAGTGCCTAATGCATAGTAGATGCCTATTAGATTAAAAATAGTTATAGAAACTCAATAAATACTTGTCAACTTCCTCTGATATAGGAATTCCGTTTCCTCATACTATTTCTCTCCTTGCTTTATGCATAATTGGAAATTAATAGTGATTAAAATCTATGAGTGCTCTTTGATTATCAGAACTGAATGAGAGTACATTATTAAAAAATCATCCCACTACTGTATAACTTTCTCCAGCTCAGCTCTTTTCTCTTTTGAGTGTGTGGAGGACAGTTATGTCTCATGTTCTAGTTATATGTTGTTTCTTTTTACCATATAAAGTTCGAAAAATCATGCCCTTCTGTTACAGGACTGAAAATGAGCTTGTGATCAGCAGATGTAAACTAGTTATACTCACTAGATGGCACTGTGGCCCCTGTTTGTACTTCACTGGCTTGTGATCCACTGATGTTGAGGTTATTTTGTAATTCTTAGGTAGATGTACCTTTCCCACAAATGCATCTATATGGATGTTAAAAAAAAAAAAAAAAAAAGCACTAAAGAAACATAAGATGCAGGTTAGTTTTGACACATTTGATGCAGCTATACTGTAAAAATACCCTAATTGAGATTTCAAGTCAACAAATATT